TTGTTAAAAGGGCTCGTTGTTCGTGAACAGCTCGTGTTCGGCTCGTTTTGGCTCGAAATACTACTCATCCAGTTTATATAGAATAAAAATTATTAAATTAGATTCAAATGATGTTTTACTATAAATAATAATTTTTAAATCTTGCTCAAACCCTTATTGTCTTACGACTACATGATTAGAGTTGTTAAGAGGACTCTTTGTTCGTGAACACCTCGTGTTCGGCTCGTTAAGCAAACGAGCCACGAACACACTTTTTGAGCTCGAAATATAAACGAGTCGAACACAAGTTGAGCATGACTCGCTCGTGTTTGACTCATTCACACCCATGTACCTATCTAATTTCATCAAGATAACCATAAATTTTAGATTATAAAGTTATTGTAATGAATAGAAATAAACTTGAAATTTATTAGGATCATTTATTATTGTTTAATAACAAGTGAAACCCTTGTGGTCTGGTCATCCCGACTAGTCTCTATCATATCATTTCTCCTTTTTTTGGCCTTAAATGCAAATCCAAATTCTTAAAGCTGTAAAGTTTATTTAAATTGTCAAGTCTTTCATAATATATTATCCTTGTTTGATTGCTCTTGTATTTTCATGCTTTGCCTTGTTCCTTAGTTTGAATAATATATGTTTCAAAGGCTTTAATTTTCATGATTCCATACAATAGTTCATATTAGTGATCAACCCCTTAAATTTCAAGTTTTAAATGATTTTTGGGAGGTTGAAATATAAAATTTTAAATTTTAGTGCTCAATTCCTTATATTTAAAGTCTTAGATGATTAACATGTAAAATCCCCTTAATTTTTCAGTCATGTATGGACTTCAAGCATATAATCTTATCTTCATATTAACAAATTTCTGCTTTTGATTCAAGTTCCTGAACTTATTCTAAGCATGGTTCTTTTTCCAAAGGCAAAGAGTGTTACATATCAATATAAATAATATAATTTTGGGGTTAGATATGTAAATACTGAGGAATTTTGTGGTTTTTATATAAAAGCCCCTTATTTCTTTTATGGGAACCCTGCACAACTTCACATTTATCCATGAATCACACTATTTAATTCTTCCATTTTCAAAGAGCAACCACTCACTAACAGTTGCCAGCTTAGCGACAATTAATTAATGCTGTCATTAATCAACTCTTAAAAAATCTTATCTCCCAATAACAATCAATAGCAGCACAGCCTTAATTGACATTGGCAAGCCCCTAACAGTTATAAAAAACCAGTACCTGCCAAACAATTAAACTATTACAGAACGGGACAGAGAAAGCCATTTAATAATTATGACATAATTATAATCATAAATCCAAATCATATACAGTTCTGCCCCCTTTCTAAGGCCTATATTATACTGTATGAAGTGCCATTCATTCCATCGTTTGATGTGATCATTTGGACTGGCTGCAATCTCCTGTTATGTATCTACATCCTACACAAAAAACAAAAGGAATTTTACATGTATAGCACCCCAAACTTCCGTATTTACATATTCCACCAACATTTTACACCCCAGCAAAGACTTTTCTGATGCGCAGCTTCTCAAAATATTAGATTTTGTAATACTAAAGTTTCGGACGTGGGATATGTAAATTGCAGTGTTTGGTGTGTCATGTATGCAGAAACCCCAAAAAAATAGTAATGAAGAAGAAGCAGCTTCATTAGAGAGAGAGAGAGAGAGAGAGAGAGAGAGATTAGGAGGAGGGTTTAGTGATGCTAAAAGTGGGATTAGAAGGAGCCCATAAATCAGCGCCATTGGAGTTGGGTACGTGCATGGTGCAGGTGAGAGGCACCAGGCACAGCCCCCGGCTCTGGAGGTCTCCCAGCCTTATCTCCCCTTCTGCTGTACTACCCTGCAAAGCCCAAAGTTCATTATTTAACATGGAGTTCTACATAAATACCACACATTCCTTATGCATGTATTTACATATGTCTAACAACTAGCAAAAGATGACATTTAAATTATTAGGATTTAGTAAAACCAGTAATTCTTGAATGATTTAAATCCTAAAAACTGTTTGGTAACGGATTTACCAAAGCCTGTAAATCCAGCATAACTGTTTGGTAAGTAAGTAGAACAAACTGATTAGCTCTTTCTCCAAATCCTGTAAATCCACCGATTCGTGGATATTTGTAAATCTTAGATTTACGGACGAAATCTGAAATCAGCGGCTTTATTTCATCCCAAATGACCACCTCATAAGATTTAGCCTACATCCAGACTAAATCTTACTCTAAATTCATTACCAGAAAGGCCCCTAAACTTTCATACTTATATAACTTAAAACTTAAATCTTTAATATTGTATGAAAAGTATCTCTATTTTTTTATTTTTAAAAGTGAAATACAAATAGATTATGATAACAAAGTGTAAATATTACAAAAGAATTTATTGGTATCTATGTAAATTTCTCTATTTAATAAATATACTTATTTGTAGGTGAAATCTGATGTTATAATATCATGTTATAAATGCCAGGTTTTTTAAATTGGTGATTCAAATTGTACTTTGTAAATGATGTTTAATTTATATATTTTCTATAAAATATAAATATTGATTTGGATATTTTATTATTTTATGACTAAAATTAATGAAAAAATACATAATAAGTATTTATTGAATGTATAACTAAGTAGAATAATAATGCATATTAACTTATTTAAATAGTATTGCACTGTATTTAAGTCAGATAAAATCAAAACTAACCGTTTTGCTATTGAAATAATACGAAATGAAAAGCTGAAAATTCGAGTTACTGGAAAAAAGACTGCTTTTTTATTCATAATTATGTTTATTCTTTGATCTCATAATACAACAGATATTAAAATGAAAATCATCATCACTTGAGGTGAAGTGAGAGACAAACCGACTATAAAGTAGCTATGAAGTGGAAGACGATGCTATCCAAAGAGAGAGTGATTCAAGGGAATATAGAATAGGAAATGAAACTAATTAAGTGAATTATTTATTGAAAACTTGCTAAGAATATTAGCTAGTTTGTGAAATAATTAGAATTTTTTTAAATTTCTTGTTGAAACATTGTTAGAAACTTTTTAGTGATGTAAAAAAATTGTATGCTTCTTCTATTGAAATTGAAATTTCTTTAGTTATGTCAGAAATTTTAGGTTTATTGTCATAATGCACTATTTCACATATTGGTTAATGATTAGTCTATTATAAGAATTCCTTATTCAACAAATAGACTATTGAGTAGATATTTGGGAGACTCAATGTGAGTCAAAAAAGTTAACTTGGAAAAAGAATAACTTATTAAAACTTTATGAGAAGTTAGAACTTTCAGATTGAACTTTGTTATTGGATGGGAATGATAAGTGGGCATTCTTGTAAGCACCTTTGAAGGTAAGAAGATTGGCTCTTAAGATAACTCCTTGCTCACAAACTTGCAAGTGAAGTTGATTAGTGGATAAAACTGAATTCAAATTTATTGAATCTCTAAATTAGCTTCCTGCTTATGAACTTAAGGGAAATGTGGAGCTAATGAATAAATAACTTCACTTTACACCTATTGAACCCTTTAATGTCATAAAATCTCACCTAAGGAACGTGCTGGCTATAGAATTTAATCATACCTCAAGATTGTTCAATCAATGTTTTTACTCTAAAATCATAGTCTAAATACAAATAATTCGATTGAATACACAAAAAAATTTCGCTATATTTTAACAAATATAGATAAAAGCATGACTGAATAACTTTAACCTATGATAAAAATGTCAAATCAAATAACTCTAAATTGATTAGATATTGATTAAGAGAAACTAGAGACATTTGGTTTTTTTATTAAAGGTAAATGTATGCCTTAAAGCAGTTCTAATCATTTGAAGTCATATCCATGACTTTATCCAATGGTTAGTTCAATAGGAATGCCTAAGGATAAGATGAGATTCTCTTAAAAAATTTTTAATGCGTTTCATTTATATTCAAGAAGCATTGATGAAAGAATAATTTAATCAAGAATTCGTGAATTATAGCAGCTCCTCTGACATCAACGAGAACATCCCTTAGATTATACTTTGGATAGAACCTTGAACTAAGACATGGCTTATTGCTGTTTGCTAAACTTAAGTCATAAACATATACCTTGGTGCTCTTGACATGGTTTATCTCTAGAGGAGTTTCCTTGATTACCTACCCAATTTATTCATAGGCTTTGATTGCTTTAGGGACGTATAGAGTTTTTTTTTTTTCCTTCTTTGAGTGATTTTAAGTTTGGATTTCCTATGGAGAGATAAATTGTTGATGAATTTTTACTGTTATCTAGCTGGTGTATTCTAATGTAATAGCATGCATGATGTAACCAACGAAAGTGGTCCTCATAGTTATTTGTAGAGGTGGGAGAAACATTATTCACTTAAGCAATCAAGATGTATAAAGATGTAAAAATGATATGGTTAATGAAGGGAACACTATGATTGTGGGGTAAGTATTGAAGGAGATCGAAAGATGCAACATAAGTCTTAAAGCAAATGGTTATGGCACAAGCAAGTTTGTGGAAAAGGTTTTAAAGAAGATGGTTGTGGCATAAATGAGATTGTGTGTCAAGGTTAAAAGGAGATGACAATGATGGAGCAAGGATGCAATGCAAGTATAGAGATAATGACGACTATAATGCAAGCAAGGTTGCCGCAGTCCTTGAAAGAGATAGTAGTGGTACAAACAATGTTACGATTCAATTCTGGAAGGAAATATCCAGAATACAAATGAGTTCGCAACATATATTTTGACATGGTTGTTGTGCAAGAAAGGTTGGGGTGCATGTGGGATGGAACTTTACATACCTCTAGGTCTTTGACCATTTAGAAATCAATACTACACAATGAAATAGGTGGACGGATTCAAAAATTCTGGAAGCACAATAAAAAATAATTCCATAAAAACACACAAAAAATTAACGTAAAAAAAAAAACCTTAGAACAGGAAAAAACCGTGGAGCAAAACCACCAAAAAATTTTCACTATGAAGAGCCTGAAATGTATAGAAATACTCATTCAAATCTCCTCTATACAATCAATACAACCTAGAGGACATTGCTTCAAACCCTTCCTCTTGATCTCACAAGAGAAATTACATGTTGAAATTATCATCCTCAACTTTTCTCTACTTCACAAGAAACTTATCCAAATTGTCCTTTGTCGATCAAAACTGTGAACTTGAAAAACTACTCTGGACAAACCGCTCGGCGGTATGGTCACGCCCAAACATAGCGAAATTATTCCAACCGCGTAGGAAGAATGAACTGATGTAGCGATCCCCTGTGGCATGGCTATGCTCATTGTGGCGTAATCACATTGTTCGACATATCTACGGGCGTTTTAGGCGTGGCTATGCTAAGTTTAGGTGTAGGCTTGTTGCTCGCTAGAGAAGAATGAACTTAAGAAGCGATCCTCCATGGCATGTTATATTCTTTGCGGAATAGCTATGTTGTCTGACATAGTTATGCCCATTTCAGGCATGGCTACAACAAGCCCAGGCGTAGGCTTATAGCTGTGTGCTCCTTGCTATGGGCTTCAAGTGTTGCGGGTACGTCCAGGCTCCTTAACATAGGAATCTCCAACTTGGAGACTGATAGCACCTAACACCTGTCCGCCAAATCTGCATCTTCATTTGTACCATCTTCATAGTCAAAACCTTCATGGACTCCAACTAAAGCCAAGCATAACTTAATTTCTTGATAGTCACCACCATCGTCAACACGTCTGCAAGATTCTGAAAGATGTGAATCTTCTCTAAGAGCAGCTGCCCATCTTCTAGGAAAGAGCGTATAAAATGATACATCTGCTAGATGTGTTTGATCATAACATGAAAAACAGTATTGATAGTAAGTTGAATTGTACTTATAATGTCATTATGAAGCTTTTCAAATCCCTGCAACTTGCCCAATTCTTTCATATATAAACCATGGAGCCAAATCATTTTCTTACTCGCCTCAGTGATAACAATGTATTCAAACTTCATAGTTGAAATTATAGCAATCTTTTATACCTGGAAACCCAACTCACCGATGTATTCTCCAAAGTGAAGATATATCTTAACGTACTCCTACCAACCAAATCTTCTACCCGATCTGAATCTTTAAATCCCTGTAGACTAATTCATGTACTTCCATAGCAAAGTGTCATGTTGAATATTCCCCTCAAATATCTGAGAATCCATTTCGCCACCTACTAACAATTTTTTCATGGGTTGTCCATGCACCTGCTGATCACTCCTACAGCATATGCAAAAGTTGATATGGTACAAATCATAGCATACATTAGACTTACAACTAATGAAACACACGAAGTTCTCCTCATTTGTGTTTTGCTCTGCTTCAAACTTAGATAATAATTCCTTAAATAGCTTGAAGTGACAACTTAAGATAGTACAAATTGGTTTTACCTCTCATATTGAACCTCTATAAGATCTTCTTAGCACACTCCATCTGAGACAACTTTGATGTATATGCACTCACGTCCCTACAGATTCTCATCTTGAGGATCTTTTTGGTTGAACTTAAATACTTTATCTCTAACTCATGTAATAATTGTTCATTTAAATTCCTGATTTTCATCATATTTGTTCTACAATCTGCATGTCATCCATATACAAAAAGAGCAGAATATAATAATTATTGAATTGTTTAATGAAAAAATAGTGGTCTACCTAGTACTTAATGTACCTTTATCTAACATGAACATGTCAAAACTTCTGTATCACCGTCTTAGGATATATTTCAAGTTATGGAGACTTTTTTTCAACCTGTAGACCAAACCTTCTATTCTTGAAATCTTGTAACCTTATGGTTGCTCCATCTATAATTCTTCCTCCATATCTTCAGGTAAGAAAATTATTTTTACCTCCATCTATTCGAGATGTAGATATGTCTCTACTACTAGACTAAACACAATTTTGACGGTTGTCGTCTTCACTACCGGAGGAAAAGTTTATGTAGTTCACTTCTTCCTTCTGATGGAACCCCTTCACAACAAGTCTTACCTTGTAGCACATACTATCATTTGACTCTTCCTTCAGCCTACAGACCAATTTATTGTGTAGTTCTCTTTTAACATCTCGTAATATCGTCAAATTCTGGGTCTGATTTGGCTTCAAAAACTGCATCTCATCATCTAAAGAAAACTCTCAGACATTCTCAAAAACTTTGGTTCACCACCACCAGTTAGCAATAAATAGTGTAACGATGAAGAATATTTTTGTATCGGTAGTATTACTAACCTTCTGACTTTAGTAGTAGGTGATTGAGAAACTTGGTGTGCTCCATTTGGTTTAACACTTCTTTTTTCTCCTTCCTCCTGATCACTATTCTCTTTTATTTCAACATACTTGGACACTTTAGAACTAAATAACGCACTATCCTGAGTTTTGCTCATATCATTGCACATCTCCATTTCATTAAATGTAAAAATCCCTGCATTTGTTGAATTTTTTATTCTGATTGTCCTAGAACTTATTCCTAAACTCATTTTAGTCATATATAATGAAGGTGCATTTGGCAGATCTCAAGTCAAGCTTACTTCTGGACTCTGCATCGACGTGAACATATGCAAAACACCTAAATACTTTTAAATGAGATAGATTTACCTACTTATCACTCCAAGCTTCTTCAGGTAAGCATTCCTTCAAAGGTACTGATGGACCACAATTAATCAGAAAAAATTTAGCGTTTACTACTTGAGCCAAAAATTATTTTGGCAGGCTTGCATACAACGTCATACTCAGGGCACGCTTTGTGATTGTTCTATTTATGTACTCAACTCCTCAATTATGTTGTGAACTTCTTGGGACAGTGAACACATGTTTGATTCCCTCTGGACCATAAAAATTTCATAACTTCTTATCACAATACACTCCCTCATTATCTGATCAGAAGCATTTCAACTTTAAGTCTGTCTCATTTTCTATTATAGCCTTCCACTTTTTAAATACTCTAAATATTTTAATTTTTTTCTTTATAGAAAACACATACCTTTCTAGTGTGATCATTAATAAATATAATAAAGTAGCGAGAACCTCCAATGAACCAAACTCAAGTAGAACCTCATACATCAGTATGCACTAACTTTAGCTTCTTTGACTTTGCCACTGGCCCTTTTTTAGAGAAAAGAACTTTTTTTGTTATATATACAATCTTTACATGAATCAAAATCTACTATTTCAAACATTGAAACGTACTTTAAGAGAGCAGAACTTCACACATTACTCGCTCATATGACCAAGTTTACGATGTCACAGACCTGTATCCACCTTGGTTCTAGCCACATCAATAGAATTTGTCATTTTGTTGATCAAGTAAAGAGTTCCTTCAATGTTGCCCCGAACAGTCTCTATAACCCCTGATCACCTTCCACGAGTCATCTGCGAAAGTAGTTACGAACCCTGACTTTGTCAGCTGACTCACAAAGATAAAATTTCTCTTCAAACATAAAGACATCTAACATCAATAAGATTTCAAACTATTTCATTTAACACCTTATTATCCACATCGCTCTTTCCTACGATATTGCAGGTCTTGTTATTTCACAGATAAAATTTCACTAAATCACTTTGAGCGTAATTTTTAAATATAATTTTATCGGGTGTGCGTGAAAGAAGATACTTGAATTTCACTACCAACTAAGGATAACACCAAGTAGTTAACTTGGATTTCGACTGTAGAGATATTAATAAAGAGATAATAATTTTATTTCTTTTCCTAGTTTCAGCATTCTCCTCTATCATTTTCTCTGCTTGACTTGAACTTTTTTCTTTTGGATTTGAATTCATCTCTGCATGTATTCCTATCTAAATTCGTTTCTTTACTTTTTTTCATTCAGCGCAAAACCTAAAGATGCAACATTTGTTGCTTTTCTACAAACTTCTTCATTCAGCATCAACCTGGCGATGTCATTGAAGTTCAACTTCATATTTCCTTAAGAGTTACTTATCGTCGTAACCAATCTAACACAACTGTCTGACAATGAAGACATTACCACCAGTGGCTTGACTTCAACATTACATTTGATCTCTACAGAACACAACTAGCTCGCTATAGTGTGGAAATTGTACAAATGTTCAGCCATTGAACTTTCTTCAATTATATCCACATTGAATAACCTATTTGTTAGAAAGACTTTATTTGAAGGAGAGATTTTTTTACATTTTTTCAATGTCGTCATAAGAACCACCGTGGCTTTCTCATTTACAATATTGAATGCAACAGACAAAAAAAGTGATAAACGGATCAAACCTAGTGCTATTTGGTCCACTACCTCCCATTCCTTCATAGTCATAGATTTAGGATTCTTTGATGATTCATTGTAGTGGTAGATATATTTTTTTTGATATAGCAAATCCACTACTTGCATCCTCCAGAATACAAAGTTCATCCCATTGAATTTCTCCACTTAGTTTCTTACTTTGTCTGTCATTGCTCTCACCGAATCAAACATTCTGCTATGATATCACTTATTGGGATGTAATTATATATAATTCTAGGGCTTCAATCAATTAGAAATCAAAACCACATCACAAAATAGGATCACACCGATTCAAAAAAAAAAAATTGGAACAAAAAAACAGAACATAAGCGTAACATAAAATAATTACAAAAAAAAAAAAAAAACACGCCACCCCAAGTGCAGGCTTGCGGCTCTGTGCACCTTGTAGTTCTGGGCTTCATCATGTTGTGTGCGCCCCCAGGCTCCACAACACAACAGTGCAAGTATAAAGACAGCAAACACTATGATGACACAAGCTGGGTTGTAACACAAGTTTGATAAGAGTGCAGGAAGCACAATGTTAATGAGAGATGCAATTGTATCAATGGAGGTGACTTTAATGCCAGTAAAAAAATGAAACTTCATGTAGACGAAAGAGACAAAGGGAAATCAATAAAAGAAGCAACTTAATGCCAATAAAAGATACAGTTTCATGTCAGATAAAAAAAGTGACTTCATGTTGATGAATTGAACAACACAACTTCGGGCCAAAGATAGGTTGATTTTCTATCAGTGATGGAAGTGAATTTATGTCCATAAAATAAAATGATTTGGTGATATTTTTACAGAGTACTTGGAAGAAAAAATCAGTCAACAATATACCTGCAACGAAGCAGAGGTTGGCAGACGCTGCCGCAGGTACGGCGAGCTCAGTACCTGCCAAAACCTCGCAATAAAATACTTTATATTGTTTCGTAAGCAATCAAATGTGAAACTTACATGAAATATTTTATAGATGATGCATTTAAAAATAGAAAGATTTACAGAACGTCTATTTAGATATCTAACACTTTAGCACTAAATTTTAAAAATATGTCACATTACAAAAGATTGCTTTTTGAAAAGTATTTGATGTGATAGGAAAGAGTTTGATGGTAAAAATGTAAAAAATAAAGTTTAAATAAGAATTGCATGGTAAGTATGATGTAAATACATAAAAATTGAATAATATGTTACGTATATTTTGAGAGAGAGAGAGAGGCACCTGAACCTGTTCGTGAAGGAACCGGATATAAGCCAGAGCTTCATGAAGAACAGAGGCTGTATCAGACTACACCAATTTACCAAAACAATCCTCCATTGTCAAACCATCGAGCTCTAGAATTTACACTAAAAATTCCAAAAGTAGACTAAAACAAAAAACAAATTTCCGAAGAAGAAATTAATCAACCCACCTTCCCAAATGGCGAAACCAGCTGCTGCAATGCTGCAATCTTGTCTCCCAATCTCTCCTTCCTCGCCTAATTTTTCATAACAAAAATCACATTTTTTAACCAAAATAATCACCTAATCCAAGATCATTTACCTTGATTGTCCCCTTGGAGCCAAATCTTTCCTTCTTCGCCTTCTTGCTCTCACTGCTCCATCCCATACATCTATTAATCTTTTCTTCCTGAAACAAACTCATGCCACCATGAATGCATGTATATGCCTTAACATCCCACATCAAACCATCAGCGATGTTTTTCAGACAAAGTATATTAAACATTACCTTTACAGTAGCTTCGGAGCAAATGTCAAAGGAGTTTGAAGAATAACTCGTACAAGAGGAAGGAGAAGAGAGCAGAAGCTCTACCAACCCTTCTTCTTCCTCTTCTTCTCCTTCCTCTTCCCTCCTCCCTCTCTCCATCAACTCTTCCCTGAGTTCTTCTCCTGCAATGATGTTACAGAGTTTGAAAAATGGTATAAAGATCGAATATTTGGTAGAACAAATTTCTGCGTCGGCAATAAAGTAAGAAGAAAAATGAAGCTTAGATTTTGGCGTTTTTCGCACTCGATGTCTGGGGAGGATTTGTTGGGTTGTGGAGGCATTGGATACTTCTAGGGACGCTTTGGGGCTGCTGTCACAGTCAATTCCGCATCCCTATTTCGCCATTGATTTTAGAAACCGTGCTCCAGTTGCTTGCTCCTGCTTGTATTATGTGCTGCTGTGAAATATAATTTGGTTCATAATATTTTATTAAATTTTGTAATGTTTTGTGGGGGTAAAATTTTATTAATGGTTAATTAATTTTGTTTAAGAAAATTATGTATTATTAGTTTTTTAATTTTTGTAGTTTAAATTTATATAGAATTAGTAATTTGGGTGATGTGGCTGGTTTGGACTGAGATTCTCCATAATCGCTAATGTTTGTTGTTGTTTTTTTATTTATTTTGAAAAGCATGTCCTTTAATTTTTTTGTATTTATATGAGATAAGGCACACTAGGAGAAATGAAGTACAATGAAGGAGGACCTGGACGACAAACGGACCCACTTGTTTGGCTAGGTTTAACCCCCTGAATCGAGGTTGCAGGCCGAGTGGGTGCAGACCACCCAAACCAAAGACTACGACAAATCGGGCAGAGCAAAGATATGGACATGTCTATCATCGCAACTCTACTCAAGGAAAGAGTTCAGTATCACAAACAGTCTCATGGATGCCCCCGAGGTTTCTTATCAAGGGCCAAGAATTGAGAATGAAATTGCCCACAAATATCCTGAAGGATCTCCTTGTCAATGAATGAGATATCTACCGGGTTACATTGATTCATCATCTGCTTGATGTCTTGTCTCGTTATGTTGATATTAAGAGAAAAAGGGTTGACAGTCAGGCTAGCTCAATCGATCAACAACATCTGGGCCACCAATGTAGTATTGTCACGCCAAAGTCGGATAAGATTAGTCAACCAGCTACGCCAACTCAGCGTGGCCAACCAAGCAAGTTATACCAAATCCAAGCCCACTAAACTCAACCAACAGAGCCAGAATTCAGTTGAACCTCAGTCTCATATATGTAAAATACATACAATATTTTGTAACTCCCCCATGAAAGCAAGGACAAACATATAACATCATATATTTTATCACCTCCTCTATAATTTAGGAGTCATTTTATAAGAAAGAGTTAATCGATAAGATTGATTACTATTAATTATTATACATTTCTCTCTCCATCTCTTTCTTTCTCTCATATCTTATGATCTAGCTCTTAAGGTGTAATTCACAGACATATCATGATTTAATACCCTAAAAGGTGTGGTAAACGTGGATCATATCATAGACAAAAAGAGCAACAACACATAAAGGAGAAAATCACAACATAGATACTGATAACATAGAGTGAATAGGGAGTTCGTACAGCAACAATTCATAATTTAAGGGATTCAATGATGAATGCCCTCCGGGAGGCATTGGGTCGGGAAGCGAGAAGAATCCCTGAGATGAAAGTACTACGCCCCATAGATGAAGGGCACCCATATTTGTGGAAAGGGAAAGATATTCATAGTACTTTGATAGTGTTGAGTTGATGTCGATGGATAGACAGTGGTTCAAGAGTACTAAGGCTTCCCATTAGGCGGAGAACACATTCTCTTGACAAATCTTTGAGGTTTGAGCCCCCCAAAGAGGTTCAAAATCTCTACACTGGAATCTTACAAGGGTCGGGCTGATCCAAGAGACCCCACTGCCTCAATTGAGTCAATTGTCACTACAGAAGATGTCATAGTTAGCGTCCAATATTTGTGTCGGTTTTTTCTGACGCAAAAACTACCGTCAGCTTTGCGGTCGTTAAGCGGCGAATAATATTTGCGTCTGATTTTGAATCCAGTTTTTGTCTGAAAATTCCGAGAGTGTGTTTGAAATTGTGATGAAATTAGCTTTGAATTTGCATCTAACTAAGTGACGCAAATTGAAGGGAAGTCAAATGTAAATGACCCAATTTACTCACTCTGCGCGCCTAAATTTCATTTCTTTATCTTCCTGCTCTCCCTTCTTCCCTTTTGCCCAAAATCCTCGCTCTCTCCTTTACCGAAATCCTCGTTACTCTTCCTCACTATTTCCCTTGAAACCCTCGCTATCCCTTGATGCTCCAAAACTTACAAGGACGTAATTCGGTCGTATAACCCAAGTACATGTGTTAAATAGTAATGCGGTTCAAGAGTACCATGTATCGATCCCACAAGAAAAGTGTAATATTCGCTTCCACAGAAAAATATATAGTTATTGATTCTACTAACCTAGCTTGGAGTTCATCAAAAAAATGTTTTTAAGTCCTAAGATCCTTGCAAAATAGAATACTTGGTCGTAAAAGAAAGTAGAAAATAAGAGAGAAAAATTTGTGAGTTCCTTCAAGACAGCCGAGGCTCGTGCCTCTATTATTCGGTGATCGTGGCGACCGTGATTTTCCTAAATGTTTGCCAACGTGATTGTTTTCAATCAAGACAAGTACTCCTTATGCTTATGTCTAGGTCAAAAGAAGCCTAGAATTTATGAAGTTGTGACTTCTTCAATCCCCATGACATTCCTGATGACTTTTCCAATTCCTATGAATGATTGTAGAATTCCAATGAAATATCTCTATCCTCTCGAAATTTTGTGGTTAACCATTCATTTTCACTACACAACGGTTAGAGGTCATAGTTTCACGAAGCATTTTAATATCCATGTTAGCCAAATTAGGAGTAAAGGAAGATCAGATGTTAACCTACAACATAGGCCATGAAGAGCTCAACAAAACGATCAACAGAAAAATCATGATAAATCCACTAATCCCTACATCACAGAGACAAGAAGAAAATCTTAGTCACGCATTATGGAGAAAACCCTGGTAATGAAAAACTTAGAAGAATTTATTTCCTCCACAACAATAACAACTTCTCCTCTCATACATAGGGCTGTAAAAAAAGCTCGTTGTTCGCGAACAGTTCGTGTTCGGTTTGTCAATGAGTTCGTATTCGGTTCGTTCGATAAATAAACGAGACGAATGTGAATAAATTTTTTTTCGTTCGGTTAGTTAAACGAACCAAACACGAACAAGGATGTGTTCGTTCGTGTTCAAATCGTTATTGTTCGAAATATAAAATAATTTTAAATAATTATATATTAAAAATTATGTTTTTTTAAAAAATTAATAGATATTATATATTTATATAATATAAGTTATATAATTAATATAATATATTATTTATATATATTAATATTAAAGATGTCAAACTGGCTCGTCGTTAATGAAAAGCTCGTGTTCGGCTCGTTCGTTAAGAACCGAACACAAACATTGACTTCATGAAACAATTTCGAACACGAACTTATTTTAAACAAACTAAATTTCAAATGAACCGAACACGAACACAAGCTCTGTTCGTTCGTGTTCGTGTTCGGTTCGTTTACACCATGTCGGAACTATTTTTGGTGTGGGGTTTGCTCGTAAGAAGCTGTCGGTCATCGGAATTGAAATTTCGTTGCCCGCTTCGGAAGGACATTTTAAAAAAATTTAATTTTGAAAAAGATGAAGTCAAACTGACCCCATAATTTTCATAGTTTAGATGAAAGAGCACTTTATCTCAAATCCTGTATCTATCTCA